GTCACTGGTGCACTGTACTTCACTAAAGAGATTCATTGTGTAGGTTATCTAATACATAAAGCTAGTCCTTACACAACCCGAAAGAACTTACATTTTGACGTTTCAGCCACCTCAGGTTGCCATCTTCAGAACTTTAAATCAACTTTCAGTTTTTTTTCCAGGTAGTGTAAGGACAATTACTAGCTTTTACATGTAGGTTCACTGTTCTGTTTGTAAGATCTTTTTAAATACATGGGATTTGGTTCATCATGACTAGTTTCCTTTCCATCTCTGTTTGCATGTCACCACCACTAGTGGTGACATATTCACCTCTACAAGTGGTGACATATTCACCACCACAAGTGGTGACATATTCACCACCACAAGTGGTGACATATTCACCACCACAAGTGGTGACATATTCACCACCACAAGTGGTGACATATTCACCACCACAAGTGGTGACATATTGCTGTTGTCTTTTTTGTGGATGGTGGTCGGAGTCTGAATTGCCACCTGGCATTTGACAGTCAATGTTCGGAGCAGGTGGTGACATTTGGCATGTTAATGCCCCATTAATGCCTTACTAGGTGGAATTACACCTACGATGTAAAAGCGCTTTTTAAAATCCTATCGGGTTTCGACCCGCCTTTAGAGTCAGGTGTAATCACGATCGCGGATTTAGAAAAGCGCTTTTGTAATCCTCCCAGACCCCTAGTCATTAAAAACCGCTTTCACACCCAAAGGCGGTTTAACGTGTAGGTGTAATACCGATTGGTTTTCAAGGCGCTTTAACTCGATTTTACACTGAACGAAAACTATATTTGCGCATGAGCATCAAGCATGTTATTGATTTCCGGTGTGGAGGAAACTTCAAAAAACAAAATTCAAATATTGTGCAAAACTCAATCAAATCACCAAAATGTCGAAACAAAGTAGAATTTATTGGGACCACGTCAATACTGAGCGTATGCTTTCGATTTGGGCTGACAAAAAGATCAAGGCCATGATGAACGGCACGTTAAAAAATGCGATCGCGTATGACCTGATCTCGCAGGAAATGAAAGTAAGCCTAAGCTTAAGTTAGGATAAATAATTTCTCAAAGATCCAACCCTCCAGTTACCCTATGGGCCTACTGTACAACGATTATATAACCACAGATTTTGAGAAAAGCTACCCTTTATCCTGTACATAGTTCAGCAATGCTAAACTCCCCCCAGACTTATTTAACGATTTTGAGATTATTTGATGTCTGGCTGTACATTATCTGATTATGGGTGAAATAGGGATAGGGTCTCATATACATGTAGGGGCAAGGGGGCTTCTGTTCACTGTGAATCAGAAACATCTACATAATGTTCAAACACATATATGCCCATTTGGCGCTGAAATGAAAGTCTCATTTAAACGCCCATGGGCATATCAAATGAGGTCAATTGATAGAAAATTAGCACTCCTACCTAGAAACCCTGGGCGATTATGTATGAAAATTTGATATTTCTCTTTATGCATATATGTCTCTGATAATAGCTTTTCGATTCTCGATCACTTTGACGCTCACTGGGCCAAAAATCTAAAGTCTTATATTTATACGCCCATGGGCGTATAAAAAATGATAAAATAACGGACGAAATTACCCCTTCTTTCAGTTATACGCCCAGGGCTTATATATGAGAAATTCTGGTACTATTGTAGAATGGGGAAGGCGAGGGGAGGGGATGATTGAATAGTTGAAATTACCTCTCTACAATGAAGTCAAAAAAATGACGAGATCTTTGTCTTGTCCACATCGTTCGTTCCTGTCCCATATTACCAAGGATGCCAAACAGCCTAACAAAAGTACCATCTTCATTTTACTGGATCTCGCTCTTGGATCTCTCCTAATGACCGAGCTTCTCTCTTTGCGCGCTTGTGCATTGTTTTCCATGCTTTCTTTAGCACATATTTGTTAACGCCAGAGGTAGATTGACTACGATTTAAGAAAAAAGGAACATACAGTATCGGATCATTTTGAATCTCCAGAGATGGCGCTACGGTTGAAAGTGTATATCTAAATAGCAGATTTTGATGCAAATGCGATGGTTGATGGCAAATTTTTGTCTTAAATCAGTCTAAAAGCGCTTTAGAAAAATCAAGTGTAATCACGAAAAGTTGTCTTCAAGGCGCTTTTAAAATTCTGGTGTAATCAGGATTGCGGTTTTCTAGCCTACGTTACCCCAAACGCCTTGAAAACGCCTTTAGCCATGAAATAGGTGTAATTCCACTAATTGTTACTTTGTGTTCCTTCTGTGTGTGGATGGGGTCGGCGTCTGAATTACCATCTGGCATTTGACGGTCAATGTTCGGAGCAGGTGGTGACATTTGGCATGTTAATGCCCCGTTAATGCCTTGATATTACTCTGTGTTCCTTCCTGTTAATAAACTTATACTTAGAAAGATACTGGTAGAAGCTATTATCTATCACAATGAATATTTTTGCTTATTTCTGAGGTCTTGTATCTACATGTATTTCACTTCTTATCTTCGATTGGCTCTCCGTTCTTGCTGAACTGCAACAATCCATGCATTTTTCAAACATTGTCGTTTGTGCTTTGTTAGGAAGGGGAACTAAAGGATAATTAACCTGCTCTACATTCTGTATAATCCAAAATCAATTTAAGTAACCTGTCCTGAAAGTAGAATTCCAGACATCATCCATAGAGATATGATTAAGAAGAAAGGATAAGTGTGTGATGTCTGAAGTGTGTTCTGAGGATGATCACATCTGACAGCTGCATTAGTGACTGTTACACAGCAGGGTTACAAAGGTTATTGCATTGTTACAAAGCAAGCTCCATAAAAAGGATTTTTGATGTGGTATACAGGCACAAAAAACCTTCGATTATGAAGCTTTTTGACAAAATGCTTCATAATGAAACAGTTTTAAAATCTGCTCCGTAATTGGTACCCTCTTCATTATTTCACCACCAGAGGTTTGGTGGTTGGTGACTGTAACAAATGGTAGGTGGTGACATTTTGCATGTTTATGCCTTGTTTCCACTAGTTCCCACATTTAATGCTATCAATTGTCATAAAAAGATTTCTAGATGAGATGAATGAAAACAATGAGTATCACAAATATGCAAAAGCATGTGTGAAATGGGAAATATGAAAAGGTTCTATAAAACAAAGTAACAGATGCAACAACGTACTATAAAAACAGTCATAAGGAAAACAAAACCCCAATATCCAGAACATTGGTCTGCAAATAAAGAAAGAATGTGTAACACCCCTTCTCTCTACCAATTCAACAAACTAATGAAAAGGAAAAGTCCATTAATTCATTTATTGTTAAAAGAACCAAGCCATATTTTGAACCGTATTTACCAAATGGTATATCCCAAAATGAATATTTCTATTCGGATTTATTTCTCTTTTGATGACATACTATCTGTTTGCAGGGACAACGAGGGTAGCTGTTTTTTTATTATTATATTCATAATGGGAGGTGTAAATCATGTTTGTTTTTCTAATTCCCACTTGACAGGTTTTGTGAGGATATTTTGTTGATTGTTTTCATCCACTGATATTTCATCCTATTAAGTTCCCTGTACACATGTTTATCTATATATGAAGTACCCTACATGAAATCACATCATATTATATCATAATCTCAATTCTTAAGTAAACATGAATTATTTCTTGTAAAAAAAAGTAATCTATTCTATTCCATATTATTTCCTCTCACTAATATCTATCTAGGGTACTAATAATAGTAATTTCAGGTATACTCCTCATGGCATTATAGATAATATGTGTTGCAGATTATAGGGTCTTGAATTTTATATCGATGTCTGACTCATAGAGAGACATTCATAAAATCTGCCTTGGCATTTCTCTAAAAGAAACTAAACACATAACTAGGCAAGGTGTGTCCGATTCCAGCCAATCAGAACACAGTATTTCACATATAGATAGAACAGTGTGTGAAATATCAATAACACATGCAAGGTCACTAGTTTAATAGTTGTCATGGTGATGAATGGATTTTTCACATTGGATTTGATGACTTGCCAACTTGACCCTTGCAAAAAAATTCATTGAAAATGTGTTCTTTTAGTGATTTCGTTTCTTTTGGATGATTTTGTAGAAAAACATTGCAATGTGTGAAACGAATTTAAGCCCAAGACTCAATGCATTGTAGCTGATTCATTCCACTCAGGCCTTGTTTCCTAATCTTTGCATTCCCGCGGCCTGGTCATGCAAAGGTTTGGAAACAACAACACGATGCGTTCCAGCTGCCCGGTCATGCAAAGGTTTGGAAACAACACCTTCGTGGTATGATTCAGCAGTCCAGGGCTTAAATCCTTTAATTAAAACCATACAGCAATTATTGTTATGCACAGATAGCATGTTTGAGAATCTAAAAGCGACACTTCAACAGCTAGTCTGGTATTGTCTTTGACAGGAATGTGCTAAGGCTATAATCTACTATGAAAGAAAACATGTAAGCACATTCACTAGTAGACCTGCAAAAAATATTGAAAAAAATAGTCTCAACTGGGAAAAGACCAAAGAACATGCATTGGTAAACATAGCAAGGAAAACAAATATCAAGGGCACTGTCAATCAGATGGAAAAATCACCAGTATCCCAAACCATGATCTATCCCACAAAAAAACAATGTCTAACCCCTAGCCTTACAATTTAGGAATCAATATTGCAATCCTAAAACAAAGTTCTTTAAATCACAAATTAGCTTAGCTTTCGTATTTGTCTTATTCAACTGGTATATATATGTAAAGTACATTTAAAACTACAGTATAATGAAATAGAAATGTGCTCCTCATGAAAATACCCTTTGAAGTCAGAAATTCAATTTTCTCAAATTAGCAAATAAGTTGGAATATAGGATGGTTCTCAGACGGTATGTCCCAAAGAACACCATTGACTTTCAATATCTCTTTAAACTTTGTGAAGTAGTATTGGCAATAAACCTGTTTTGTTGTTTGATATTATCCTGGTATATAAATTGTTTCAGGCAGAGTTCTCAGAAATCAACCTGGCAGCATACTCAGACACAGGAACAATGGTAGACATCCAGGTGACACGCAATGGGACACGTGTTGTCAGGTAAGTGCGTTATTATTTATTCACACATAGCTAGACAAGGTGTGTCTGATTCCAGCCAATCCGAACAGAGTATTCACATTATGAACAGTGTGTGAAATATCAATAACACATGCGCGGTCATGCAAAGGTTTGGAAACAACACCTTCATGGTATGATTCAGCAAACAATGCACTGAGTCCAGGGCTTAAAGCCTTAATACAGTGTGGTCTGTTGATATATATATATGTTTGAATTGTTCCTGATAAGGTGCTGTCTGACAATTCGTTTCAGCAAATCTGTTTTGTCCAAAAGTACTATGAAAGTCTTTATTTTGCAAAGAATGCTGAAAAGTATGCATAAAGTCACTTTAATGGATCGAAATATGTAGTCTCTTTTTGCAACATATCATGCACAATGGTCATGTGACAACTATCAACCCTGTGCTGGCCTCACAGCCTGTGGACAACATGGAAGTCTTTGAGTATTACCTACATCAAGGTCTAGCCTGTGTAAAATAAGACAAGCTCAAATGGCATCTTGATTGTGTAATGAAATACATGTTTGGGATCAAATCTTTATTTATCATGGTTCTATGTTGTTCATTTTGTCCATGATTGTCTCTTTTAACTTAAGTTTTTTACTGATAAGTCTTTGCGAGGTCATAAGTTACACTGGAAAGCTTAAACTGTCTTTAGGAGCATTATGTTGTCTTTAAGACAAAGGTATATCACTACGATCCAGACATATTGTGTATAAATGAACAATGATGTTGAATTTAGCAGTGATCGCTTACTCCTTATCAGCGCTTTGTGGCTTCTAGCTACAGATTTATTTCATGTTGTTAGCATCTGCTCGATGTTTATTGGCAATCAATTTTAGATTAAGATATTGTCTTTTTGTGAGACTGAATAATGTTTTTACAAGTTAAGATGTTTAAAAGCTTTTCATTGAAGGGCTACAAGTTCGAGTTCAGCTGGTATCAAGTGATTCATATAAGCTCTACAGCATTTATTCTTCATTTTCATGTCACCACCACAAGTCTTAACATATTGTATTGTCTGTTTGTATTGTATTGTCTGTTTGTATTGATGGTGTTTGGTGGCTGGTGTTCGGCATTCAGCATCTGTATTCTGTAACAAATGGCAGGTGATAACATTTTGCTGGCTTGTGTTTGGGATTTAGCATCTGTAACAAATGGCAGGTGATAACATTTTGCATGTTAATTCCTTGTCAATAATTCATCATCCTTAATCAATAATTCGCTTTTGCGTAGCACTATAACATGCAAAAACAAATAATCATCATTTTATATCTCATTTACTACAGGAACCTTCAGCAGCTTTCCCAGTGTATTGTGGATCTGGATTTGGCAGAATATAACCCTCTGTATATGGCCAGGGTGGTTGTATGTAAATTATTATTATATGATCTATAGGAAGTAAGTTGTCAGAAATTTACATTCTAGGTGATTGGTCCAGGTTCTTGTAAAGTACATTTTAACAAATGGGATACGTTCTATGTAGTTGACTAGTTATACTTTCTATGTACATGTAGTTTACAAGTTACGTTTTTTGGGTGTCAGATCCTTTAGTATGTCTTTGTCCATTAAGACAAGGGTGATAGCTTTTCATAGATGTACATGTATTTTATTAGGTGATATACTTTTGGTGATGGGTCCTTATATGTATTTCTTTAGTGATCAAGGGATAATATGATTGTTAGTGATACATCTTGGGTAGCAGAGCCTCATATATGTTGTAAATGTTTGTTTTTGTCTTGTAAAATATATTTTGAAATGGGACCTCATTTATTTATGTTTGTATTGTCTTTGCCCAATAAAGGGAGTTTTAATATGTATATCTTTGTCCAATGAGACATGTACATATAATATAATCAATATAATAATTTTCTGATATTGATTTTTGAACTTTGGGGTATTTTTTCCCAAAAATATATATATATATTTTTTTCTTTTCACAACCTTTATTTTACTAAACAGGATGTTTCGGATCCTGTCTGGATCCTTTTTCAACTGTATAAAAACTGAACTGAAGCACTACAAAACAATTAAAGATGTCATTTTAAAAGCAAAAAAGGCTCCAAAACGTAATAAAATATGTAGTTTGGATGTTCATTTATGTCTGTGGATTATATTTTATACCACAAACACTTATAAATACCTGAAATTTGCAATAAAAGTGCCCAAAAATTGTTGTTTCGAAATTCCCCATTTTTCCTGTATCGCGCTAGTCACGTGACCCTTACGCGTAGCAGGCAATGCCTAGTATTACAGATATTACAGTACATATTTCAACATGTTCAATATGGCAAACATCAGCGATTCTGACTCCCGGGTTCTGGGAAATGGCTGTATATAAATCGGCGAGAGGGTGTTATTTAAGGAGGACAATTTAACCCTTTCCCGACGTGAATATAAGAGGAAAATGTTGGCCCTGGTGACGGATAAGTAAGAGCAGTTTTTAGGGGAAAACTGCAAAATACCTACGTCCCGGGACCTATACCCTGAATTTTATCACTGAAATACAATTTTTAGTAAGGATTATCACATTAGAACAACTTGTCAAAATTTGGTGTAAAAATACTGAATAGAACTGGAGATATTGTCATTTCATTGATGTATATAGATAAAAATAATGGTGCCAAAAGGAGCCTATCGTCCTGAAAGGTATACCCTGCGTGCAGAGTCTAGTTAAACTACACTCTGCCTAGTAGAGACCATATTACAGTTTAGCAGCCCCGCCCCCACGCACGGGCACCTGTGACAGTTTGGGTAATAAATCACTTTTCACCTACGCGCTGACCTTTCTTCCACCAATCAGTGAGCTTGAAGAAACATACGCCAAATGCGTTCAAATTAAATATGCGTGTGTCATTGGTCAATTCCGGGCTCAACGATGACGTCAGAAGGAATGACCATATATAGAACGTCGGTCAAATTTGGCCGACGAACACTGATTGGCGCGGTGAGTTCACAGGTTTATTTTAGTTTGAAAGAGTGAAGACGAAGCTCTCTTTTAAGAAGTGAAGTCAAACGAATGCAAAGGGTATGAAAGGTATTACATAATAGGGCTCCATATGGAGCCTATCGTCGTGAAAGGGTTAAGGAGGGGAAATATGTCCAAGTATGCCAGTAAAAGAGCAGATATGGACTTTAGACAAGTACTATGACGGAGAATCAACTAAAAAAATGTGCGTTCTGGAATGAAGACCCGTTGCCATTGACTGAGAATCCCAGCGATCCTATAATCCTACTCAGTTTGAATTTAGACGCGGAAAACAGGTTATGAAAACGGGCTCTCTGCAAAGTTATCAAATTTAGAAAATATGGATCTTGTTTTTGAGTGGCTTAACAAGCATTCGGATACAAGACTTGGCGCTATCTCTTGTCAAATACACGCAGACTTGCAGTAAATTGGCCATTGCAAATTGCAAAATCAGATCGTCAAATTAATCGCTTCGTTTTTAAACGTATGCTTCATATCTTCATCCAAAACTTTAGGATTCGATAGAGATAAGTTAAAACTTGTACAGGAAGAAATGGGAGATCCTACCTTAATTTAGAATCGCTGATTTCTCTGGACAAATTCCGAGAAGAAATTGTTCAACATCGCGATCAGCTCAGACTAAACTTACATGTTGTGCATGTCACTCCCGTGATAAAATACGGCATTTTGATTGGTTACTACTCGTGTTGTCATGACGCGAAAAACAAAAGTAAACACTGAATATGTTAATGAACTGTCATATATGGAGCAATTGTCTTTCTGATTGGTTAACTTTACACGCCTCCTAAATGAATATAGTAGTCGTAGTAAATGATTCATTGATAACTCTGAAAGTGGGCGTGACCAGCTTTATTTTGACACCAAATTCAAGATGTTTCAAATAAAAATGGCCTAGCAAGACGAGGTTGAAATATCGGCAGTTTGATACTGATATGGTCTACGATAGATCAAAATTGACTGCCCCGCGTCATATGTCACGTGAGCCTATATTTGTTGAAAAATGAAAGAGATAGTGACACTTTTTAATCTTAAGTTAATACCAATATTACAAACACATATCTATTTTTTTCATTAAATATTTATTTCTTCATTATACATACATTTGTTTTACACTGCATTGATTTATTTTTGCAAAACCTTTGCTATTAGATCTTTAAATAAAAACAATATTACGTCATATTAATTCACCAAAAATTCATTCCAAATTCCCGCCAATTTATAGTTCCCTTGATCCCTGTTCATATTATTATAGTTTTTCTTACGTCCTGTTTAGTAAAATAAAGGTTGTGAAAAGAAGAAAAAATATTTTTGTGATTTGATAATCCAACCTGAAGAACATGTTTAAGGGTATTTTTTCCCTTTGAATATTAGGGATTCTTCAATAGACAAGATGCAAGTAGAAATAATCCTCATCATTAAATATTCAAAATTCACTCAAACTGATGTCATATTTGGAATATACATGTAAAATTACATCTAGAAAAATGGTTTCGATATACAGTAAATGTATGTTTATCAACTTTGAAAAATTTTTTTTTTTTGAAAATTGACTTCTAGTTTGGGCAGATTCTCCATAGACCCCATGTTATAAAATCACAAAAAGTGAAATATCTTTTCTTGTATAGCTCAGATTCTTTTACTGGACATAATTTAACTTGCATAACTATAAGATACATAAGGGTGATATGAAAATTGAACCACTAAAACAGATATAATTTAAGTTAAAGGGAACTTTCTACTATACCCGCCATGCTATCTGACCCGAGAGAGCCAACTGGTAGTGAAACTGGTAACTACCTACTCGCATCTGAGTTATTGCAGCAATTATAAGGTTGCTAGATGCTTTCGGTCGTTATTATGTTCCTTTTTTGTTGAACTTTTTTTGTAATATAGGATTAACTCATCTCTGTGCATATCTTGTCTTGGAATGCGATGACTAGATACTTGCCTCTAATGAATAATTCAGGAAAGTGTCTTATTAAGCCATTTTCTTAC